CCCGACTCCCAGTATTTACTACGGAGCGAAAGTCTCCCTGAGCAACCAAGCAGGAAGCCTGGTAAAGGACACCGGCACACTGTCATTACATGGACATATTCATACATACAATAGAAATGAAACTACTACAGAACAAAGTCTTGGTCTTGTCTTCTCTCCTCCCTACTTCCTGTTTTGATGATCTTCGTTTTTCTAGTTTTTGTATTTGCTCTGGGGTGTTTTTTCAAGGCCTGATTTGAAATGGTAGGCAACAAGATGTTAGGATCTTGAAAATGCCAGACTAGGGATTGCTTTTAACTACGGTTGTCCCAGGATTTACTTCATAGATACTATTTTGGGGGACGTTAATAGAAATGCCAAGAAAATGTTGTATAACCTCCTCTAGAGGGGGAAAAAAAAAATCACAAAGTATATTATATTTGCTTATGAAAAGCACTTTTGTAAAGAAAACAGTTTAACAGTATTTAACACCAAATGTTCCCCAAGTTTATTTTTTGACAGTGCAGACACTTGAGACAGTGTATTATTAAAAAAACAATATTCTACAAGCAATTTCTTGTACTGCTCTAGATCATCCTGAGGGAAAAAGTAATTAGGACGACGCCAAGTCTCTAGAAGTTCGAGGACTGATATTTTCTCCCAAGGGGTAAGGAAGCTGGTTCTAATCTTCTATAAGCCGATCCTCTGATTGCAGCTGGGCCTTCCTTATGCTCTCCAAGTTCAGTTGTTGGTATTTTCTATTAAAAAAGCCACACTGAAACAAAGGGAAGAAAAGTCCAATTACAGACCTCAGATATCCATCTGTCTTAGGAAACCGTTTATCTGGTCATTGACAAAAGGGCCCTGTACTCCTCTGCTTCTCGTGCTCCCTCTGAATCTTTCCCAAATAATACAATCCTTTAAGACCCATCTTAAGTGCTGCCTTTTCCACAAGCCTTTCCTGGTGCGCACTCCCAAGTCAGAAGTGATTTTCCATCTTCCTCTGAACCCCAGAGCTCTCTAACCATTTTAACTTAATTCTGCCAAGTATTATAGTTTCTGCTGAACTGGATCTCATTTATGCAAATGTACTCTGCCCACTTCGCTGAGGCTAGAAAGAGATCAAGTAGAGCCTCCTACATCAAGAAACTCAATCTAGTAGGAAGAGAAATAATTAACCGCACAGTGCCACATGGAAGGGTTTCCAGAAGGGAGCTCACAGGAAAAGCACAGAACTCAGATGAAAGGACCCAGGAGTCTCTGGGTTGAGTTTTAAGGGAAGAGTGTGAGCAAGATGAAAAAGTGGGGAAGGGCATGGGGGTGGGGGTAGATAGCCTGACTGCGAGCACAGAGACACGAACCTATTTAGTTAAACATGTCTGGAGAAAAAAAGCAAGACTTAAGGGTGGAGGGGGTAGGGGCCAGAGAGTGGAGAGTCTTGAATAGCAGTAAAAGAGCTTGAACATTAAAACGGGAAGGGATTTAAACAGAGAAATAACAATCTGATCCGTTTCAAAAAAATCTTTCTGTACTCCAATGCTTCAATTAGATTTTTATCTATTTCAGACAGAAAACTGTCTTACTCATTTGCCCAATCAGATGTGTGGGTGAGGAAGACGGTAAATGGCCACAAGGCCAGGGGCTGCCTTTACGAACATGAACTGACCTTGAACATGATGACTATAACGACAGTCAAAATCAGAAGGCCACCAACACTGCTTCCAATGATCAGAGGCAAAGAAAGGTAATCCTCATCTTTCAGGAAGATGACAGTGATCTGGAATAAGACAGAGAGATCATCCAAACAGTCAAAGCAAATGAGAAAAAAATTCCATGCATTATTTTAAGAAGCAAAATATGAGTCGAGGCTTCCCATTGCTGGGGTAGGAAAGCCTGAACTGTAACTGATGAATTGCTGGAGGCTCACTGGGAACAACTCTGAGGTAAAAACTCCAGGGAATCCAGTCATAAGGGGAACCCCACAAAACTGAAATTTACCTCCAGGGTCCCACAGTAAATCATGGAGAAAAATCTCTTTGTGCTTCCGGTGGGGGAGGGGAAAGAAACCATTCTGAGAGCTTGTTTTGAGGTTCTAGCCGGGGAGCGCAGCTACTCGTATACTTTCACCGAAAACCGGTCTTCTCTTCTAGAGGAGAAGGTTGTCCTCTTCGAGGGCACAACTTCGGGAGGGATGCACGTGGAACGATGAGGGAGAGGACACCTGCCTAGCCAGCCAGATCAGCCAAATCAATCCTGGCACTCAGAGTGACAAATGTCACAGCCAGATTGTCCTCACATCCCAAAAAGGAACACTTTGAAATAAGCCAGAGTATTCTGTTCTTCTTAAAGAGGCCTGCCCTCAAGGGAAACTAGTTAACCACAGCCTAACCTACTGTGGTATTATCAAAATCTAACTGACCTGGGCGAAGGGAAATACCCAATTTGAGCCCATTCTAGCTATCCTGTCCCACCTAACAGGTCTGGAAAAAAAAAAAAAGAAAGAGAAACAATTGTGTAGCTCACAGTCCAGAGGTCCAGGCTCACTTAAAGATGAGACCTACTTACGAGAGGATAGAACTTCCCCTCCCCCACACCTCACATTACTAAAGGCCTATTTACAGTAGTTCCTTTTACCTGGTACATCAAAACCAGCTATCAAGAAAAAGTTACCACTGGGCCGGCCGAGTGGCGTGATGGTTAAGAACTGGCTTGGGACACAAGGGGGCCCCGGTTCGGATCCCACATATGAGGGCCAGTGACACTGCCCTCTACAGCTAAGATGCTGAACAACAGCTCAACCTGGAGTTGGGCTGC